AAATACAGTATAAACAATCTATCTGAAAAGATTTTAAAAAGTACAGATATATTAACTTTTCATATTCTGAACCACAATTTAAAATGGATTTATACACTGATTTATACACTGCTCTCTGAACCACAATTTAAAATGGATTTATACACTGCTCTCTGTAGATGAAAATAAGCTTACGAATAACCTCTACACACCTGTAACTTTTAAACATACTGCATTTTTTCAGAACAAAATTTCCTATTTTTTTTAGCAACGTACTGACAAGCAAAACCAATAAGTCAAATTAAACAGCATTAGTTCTTCCTGAACCAATTTTTGCAACCAAAGAATTTTTGAACCAAAAGAGCAAATTACTCTTTTTTTCCACTTGGCATTTTCTGACATTTAGCAGAATTTATGTGAATGTATGATTTTTATACATTTTCAACTATGTATTTCCATCCACAAAACACATCCTTAACTACAATACACATTTTTGTAATAGAGTTTATTCAAATCAATTAAATTACAATGTAATGGAAATATCAATTTCCCATTATTGTAATACCATAGAAAAATAGTTCCAAATCTTCTTTATTAAAAATTTTAAAATGATAGGTGCATAATTTTTCTCATTAGACCACAAAACAAAGATATAAAAACTTCATTTTATATTATTCATTTTATTTATTCATTTTATCTTCATAATTCTTAACTTATTATTGCCATTAACTTTTTTTAATAACATTATCATCTATTAATTAATAGCTAAGTTGCCAACTTTGAAGTATGAAAATCCAGAAGATTTTCACACTTCATAGCAAGGAACCACCAAAACCAGGTATTTCCGGGAGAATTTTGTGCTGCATGGAGGCACCATTTAAAAAACTCAAAACTAATTTAAATTCAGATGGTCTTGAGTTTATATCCTGGCAAAGTGTAGAGCATATTTTTTACATGGCCTGCTTCTACGAAAAATTACTCTACAGTGAAGCGAACGATAATGCGGTAGATAATTCAACAATGCGAAGATTTGGTGATCAAGTCCAAAGCTCTTGTGCATTTGCAGTGTAATTTAGGTACACGTCCAGTTAGCAATTGGAAAGTCATTAGTTCAAATCTTTGAAGACATTGCAAATTTCTCATTTCCTGAACAGGCCTAATGAGACTTAACCTTTCCTAAACAGGCCTTATGACTTGACACAATTGATTAAAATAAAATACAAATATTTACTGATTAAAACATTTGGCTGATGAATCTCCATACATATATATTTTTCTAAACGCCTACATAGATTAAGATAATTCAGATCAAATAAAATTTAATAAGAAAAACTAAGCTGAAGATCATTAAAGACAGCAGAACAAAATTTGTACAATTTAAGCTTCCATAATGAAACTTAAAACATGAAAATGTTATTTGCACAATTTCATTTTATTGCTGAAAAACACTTTGGTTAGTAAAGATGAAAAAATAAAAATTATAAATTTAATTATTAAATAATAAATTTAACATAAAATTCAACGAAGAAAACAGCTCTTTCAGCATCTTCTGACATGTTACAAAATTTTATAAAGAAAACTGCAATTCTTACACATTTGACTTCTCATCTGATATAAAGCTTGTAAATATATACATACAGTACAAAGTCCGTAATATGGTCGTCCATTATCTGGAATGGTCTATAATCCGGACCTCAAAGCCACAAACTTTTTTTTTTTCTTTTGTAAGCTTTACACATGCACATTTAATGAGTAATGGATAGTAAAATTATCTTTACTGAGACTAAGGCATTTCAGTTAATGTTGCAGATTGCGCTGTCCCTTAATCTTCTAATTGGATCCGGCTTATTATTTTTTGCAGACTGTTAGAGCAATTTTATAAAAATTAAGCTTGAACTTCCGATTAAGTCAATTTACAATTCCAATCCGCCGAAGAGTTTCCAATTCTTGAGCTGTCAAAGGATCTATAAAAAGAAAGCATCTTTCGATGCCCATCAAACAAAAAGTGGAATTGCTGCAAAAAAAGGATAATGGCATATCTGTCTCAAAATTATGCGAGGAATATAACATTAGAAAGTCAACTGTATTTGACACAAGCAAAAAGAAAAAGGAACAATGCCCCAATTAAAGGACGGCAAAATCTGTAGTATGGTTCTAGATTCAGAAAATACTGCTTCCAATAGTGACGAAAGTGCCAGAGAGGTTATGAAAAAAAAAAAAAAAAAAATCGATTGACAAGTTAGTCGGTATTCTCGACACATCAATTACAGGACTTGAACAGTGGAACTTTGTAACTGAACAAGAAATTATGTCTGCTTATAGAATTAAAGAGAAAGTATTAGCACAAAAAACGAAGAAACTTAAACAACTTACATTGAAAAAAATGTTTAATAAAGTAAACAAATAAATATTAAGCTTTTTTTTTTTTTCTGTAAATTTTGATACCCTTTAGATCATAATTGCTCTTTGTTTCATAAATTACGGTTTCATATTTTTAATAGTATAATTTCTTCATGCCATCTTACCACATTAAAATTGATTATCTATAATACAGAATTGCCGAAGTCCCAACGAATACAAATTACGGACTTTGTACTACTTGTATAAAAGGTTAAAATACAGTCTAATGGAAAAGCTGTGTTGAAACTTGTCACGACTTCTTGGCAACCCATCTCTGTTGTGTTGCTGCTCATAAGACTGCCCACTTTGGGCATAACTGAAGAGATGGACAGGACCCACATCGGAAGGTATAATGTTCTGCATAGAGTCTCTGAGGTATTGGAGTGCTAGAGGCCAAGTGATGAAATATTGATTTTTTACATTATTCATAGAGCTTTTTCTGTTCATACCTTGTCTTATTTTCTGCCGACTTGGGGGGGGGAGACACTCTACAGTGGATGGATTATAGTTAATGGATTTTTTCAATAAGTCTGTCATTACATTTAGAAGAATCTTCAAAATTTTACTAGTTGAAATCACAAATATGTTAATGGTAATTTATCAGACAGTTACAAAAGTATTATAACTATTAGCCGATAAATTTTCATCAAAAATATCTCAAAATTATAATTTTTTTGGTTGCTAAGAAAAAAATTATTATTCATGACATGCATCTTGGCACATACCCTATTCCTTGTATGACATAACTTTCTCCTTTTATGAATTTTTAATGATTCTATTCATTATAGAAAAAATTACTTATCTACATTTACAACAATGAAAAACTTCTTTAACATTTTAAAAGACCTTACTAAAGTGCATACCTTACTAAAGTGGAAATAATTTTTTTAATTGTAGTATCAAATTATGAAGTTTTTATAAAGACGCAAACAATTTGTAGCACACGAGGCCTATCTGTCTAAGGGAAGAGATGTCATCAATTTTAAGGGAACTGACTATGACTATATTATGCAAGGGGGAAACAGACATGTAGCCAGCCTGTTTGCCTGCAAATGAACATAGGTCGAATTACAAGTATTCAGAATCTTTACTGCTCAGAGGCCTATGTTAGTCATAAACTGCAGCAATTTGATTTCCTTCTAATATTGTAAACACACATTTTTAAAGCAAAATAAAACATAACAATTATTTACAAAAGCCAGCAACTGGCATCAGTTTCACCACTAAGCAAGACTATAAGAAAAACATTCCCTCACATCTGATGGTAGTATCTGTCATGTAACTATTGTAGTATATTAAAGGACTACATGTTCATATATTTCTAAATTATATACTTTTCCAAATCTAAAATTTTATTTGGTATGAATACAATAAAGAATTACATATTTCAGTGGACTTCCATGAAGACCAACATCTCAATATGAAGCATAACTGCACATAAATTGCAATATTTCATTATCATTTAATTAGTAAGTCCCACAGGTAATGAGATACATTCTGGTGACATCAAAGGTCACGTTATGTAAGAACTGCTAATGTAAACAAACAAGCTGGTGTTGTAGATGTGTTGAAAATTCAGAAACTTTCTTTATTTTTAATTATTTATGAAATTAGCATTTCATCTTAAATTATTATTTCATCCATTTGGTTAGTATAATATTGGTAACACTTATATGTTGTTATCTTCATGATTCTCTTTTGTTAGCTGCTTTACCATGTTTTGATTGTTAATATTTATTTATGAATTCTTTCCTTGATCTGATAATTAATTCATTTATCATTTTCCATTATAGTTTTAATTTTTAGTTTGATTTCTAAATTTCTGTTTACATTTCCAGTTTCTGAGTGTTGACAACGTCTACCTCATGTTGTGCACATGGTTGCTCAAATAACAATATGAAGGAACAATGTAAAGAAAATAAGATTTCCTTTCATCTGTTTCCTAAGGATGAAAATTTGCACAACTGAGTTTGTTGCAATTCTAGCTGCTAAATGAATAATTTTTTGGTCATAGATGTTTTTTATTTTATAGTAGAAAGCGATAAAAAATTCTACATTTATGCGTATTGATTAAAACTTGATTATAACAGCCACATTATTAAAACACAATGTGATGAAATTAATAAAAATTTAGTGATATAACATGTTCTATGACACTGTAATTAATAAGAGAAAACTGGCTTCATTCTGCCAAATTTATTTTCTGCCTTAACACAGCTTGCTATAAGTACCTTACTATCTGGCATTACATGCATGGCAAAACAAATGTTATTCACATGTTTTTCCTTGAACAAGAGAAGACCCTTTTTATTAACATCAAGAAAAGAGTACTTTTTAATTTTTTGCAATAGCTGTAAATTTCTAAATTAGAAAAATTTATTAATTTTAGTGTTATATCTGCTATAGACTCCATTGTAAACTGCGCACGTGCGGAGATTATTGTTCTTAAATCACGTGACCACTTTTTCCCCCTCTTCTTCTCTTGCGGAATGTATCTCATTATGGTGATTTTCTATTTTGGTGAATAACATTATACTTTTGCTATCAAAAACTTTTCAAGTATCTAATCCAAAGAACAACAATAAAATAATTCACAAGCAGATACTGAAATCACTACATACCTCTGTAATGTTATCTAAACACCACTGGAACCATATTGTTTTTCCCAACTCTTCATCATATTTCCTTTCAGTCACAAATTGCTAAAAAATAATTTTAGCATAAAGTTAAAAATATTCTCCATGCAAGCATTCTCTTGGAATAAACTTTATACAAATGTTTTGCTAATTCAAAAATGATATATTACTTTGATATCAGATCTTAATTCTGCCCACTGAGCCTCAGTTAGAGATGGTGTGCGGTCAACTCTTCTTTTCAAATCAAGAGCAAGTTCTTGTCTGCTTTTTATAAGATTTACTGGTGAAGTGAGAAAACAATAATGACTGATACTGAATAAAAATTAAATATTTGAATAACGAGAAATAAATGAGTGAAAAAAAAACTTACGAGCTTCTTCTTTAGTTTTCTCTAATTCAAGTTCTACTAATTCTTGCCTTTTATCTAACCTATTATAAATGTATGAAAAATACTTTTACTCATGAAAAAAACTACGCAAAAATAATTTACATATTAACTTATTATTATATTTTCCTGTAATGAAATGACGACAGAACAAAGAAATATTTAATGTGTAAAAATTTTTCATGTCTTACAGTTTTTTAATGTCATTAAAAGCATTCTTTAGCTTCTTTTCAGATTCTTCCAAGCCTTTGTCCAATTGTGCATGTATTCTCTGAAGTGAAATGGTTTGCCTATTTAGATCTTTCTTACACTTTTCATAACCTTTAAAAAGAGAAATAAGTTGAATCAAAGTGCAGATTTAAGACAACACTGACCTTTATTAGTTAGACAACAAGTTCTTTTGGTCTTCTCGGTTACTTATGATGTTCTCTTTTTACTTTTCGTAGTTAAACATGAAATAAATTATAATAAAAACATTTATATTTCTAATGAACCTCTCTTTTTGTCTATTGCTGGTGAAGAAAAAGCTGTAGTACTGCCCTCGGAATCCAAACATCTTAGACTCTAACCACTTGGGTTATGAATATACAGTACATGTGATTAAACATTCACTTCCCCAGCACTTGAGGCATGCATGAACTTTTCCACAAGTTGTACTGAAAGTATCTTGTGTGATTTTTGCCACAATTTTCTGCTTTTATGCTATTGGGTTGGAGGGAAAGTTCTGTCGTATTTTAAAGAAAATATTTGAATTCATTTATAAAAATATGTGTTTAATATTAATCAGTTATATATGCTCCGTTATTTGTTACAAGCTGTTGCCATCTTCCAGGTAACCTGTAAATTCCTGTTTTGTAGAAGTTCTCATCCATGGAGTTAAAATAGTCAGCAACTGCCTTAGAAACACTTTCAAAAGACTTGAATTTTTTTTCCCGTTAGATAATTTTACAGAGATCTGAACAGGTAATAATCAGAGGGTGCAATGTCAGGTGAATACGGGGGGTGACTAAGGATTTCCCATCCTAACGCATTCAGTTTTTGTAGTGTCACCACTGCAGTATGCGGGCGAGCATTATCGTGATGGAACACTATTTCTTTTCTGGACGCTAATGCTGGCCTTTTTTCTTTGATAGCTGCATTCAATTTATCCAGCTGATTGCAGTACAGATCCGCGTTGATGTTTTTTCCCTGTTTCAGCAACTCTTAATACACTGGACCTTTCCTGTCCCACCACAAACAAAGCAGTACTTTTCGTTGATGGATACTTGGTTTTGGAACTGTTGCTGATGATGTTCCTGGTTTGCAGTAAGATTTTTTTCTTTTAATATTCTCGTAAAGAATCCACATTTCATTTCCAGTAACCAGCCTGTCCAAAAACGGCTCCACATTGTGTATAATCAGATGTGATGAGCAAATTCTTACACGATCAAATTCTTTTCCGTTAATTCATGTGGAACCCAAACACTTTGCTTTAACACAAAACCCAACAGATTTAATGTGATCTCCAACAGTTTTATGATAAACGCCAAACTCTTCTGCAATTTCTCGACTTGTTAAATGTGGATTATTTTCCAACATGGATCGCAAAACATCATTATCGATCTTGGATGGTCGTCCAGATCGAACACTTTCTTTGAGGCTCAGGTCCCCGGAACGAAATTTGCTAAACCATCTTTGACAAGTACGAACATTTACAATATCTTTTCCAAATACCGCACATAAATTTTTACATGCAACAGATGCGTTGCTTCCTTTTTGGAATTCATATAAAATGCAGTGTTGTAAATGCACTTTATCTACCGACATGTTTTTCCCTTTAAATATTACAAGTAAATGATGAAGGGTAAAAAAGGGCACCTTTTATATTATACAGCAGCTAAAAAAAAAAAAAAAAATCCGATTGACTCACTAGCCAGATGTTTTTTTTTTTTTTTATTTACAAGAAAAATCACCTGCCTATTTAAAATACAACAGAACTTTCCCTCCAACCCGACAGAACTTTCCCTCCAACCCGACAGAACTTTCCCTCCAACCCGATAGTTTTCTGCCTTTTTTTAAAAAAAATATATAATAAAACTTAGTGTATTTGCCTTGGACCTCAAAAGTATATAGAGGAAAAGGAAAGTACGCAGAAAGCTTTTAGAGCTGCAATTGAAGAAAGATCTTTTTGCTAAGTATGAAGGCAGTATGAGTTTAGCATTATGTTCGTGACCCTATCAGGAATGCGATATATAGTGCTTTCTTGTTCTTAAGAAAAGCACTTATTAGAAACTCTTTTTATCAAATAATAATTTGATATTACATATTTTGCTTTTGCTGATTTTTTTAAGCACTAATTTTACAATGGAGAGTTTGAGTGCTTTGCTGTGGTCAGGGAATTCCTCTCAGAAGGTCTAAAGTTTACCTATTATATCTAATTTGGTAGTCTCATGATACTAGGTTAGCTATGTCCATTGGACACTGTGCAATATGGCACAAGAATCCTCTACATTTCCAACTGATATGGATTCAAAAGACTACTTAAAGGAGGCACAAGGCTTCCTTACTAACTTAGAGACAGTGTTAGTGAATAGAAGTTCAAGTATTTCAAAAATACAGCATTAGACATCAGTTTCATGCGAGTTCAATTGGATTGATTGATCAATGTCTTGAAATGGCAAGACTTGAGGGTAAACTTTAAGTAACAGAGCAAAAAGATTGCTATACTGATAAAGTAAAAAAAAAAAAAAAAAAACTCAAGAGCAATTTCTTGCCTGGGAAAAGAAACATCCCCAACAACATTTAACTCACATACTCAAATTAGGAACTCAAGTAAGGAAGGCGACAAATCTGAAAATAAGATTGGTATCAGGAGACTCAAGAATGTATTAAAAGGTGGTCTGCTAACTGAAACAACAAGAGAAGCTGATTTAACCATCCATCAGTATGAAATTGCTCAGATACAAGAAATAAATTAATCAGTTAAAATAGGATCCTTTAAAGCATTCACCAATCATAATATATATTACTTCTTGTGAAATTACTATTTAACTGCCCAAAATGAAGGCACAACAGACGACAATATATTTGCTACACTTCCGATAAAACAAAAAAAGACTTAAATCACCAAGTCGTCACTTCAGACTCGTTCAAAATGAAAAATATAAAATGAAAATGAAATGAAATGAAAAATATAATGAAATATATATGATGAATATAAAAATGTGGAGTGAAATGATATATGAAAATATAAAAATGTGCCTAAACTGCGAATGATTCAGCTTAAAAGAAAGCATTACACCTATACAATGTAAAAGATGTTGTAAATATGGGCATAATATAAAAATGTGCCTAAACTGGAAATGATTCAGCTTAAAAGAAAGCACACACCCATACAATGTAAAAGATGTTGTAAATATGGGCATATTTCAGCAAACAGTCAGGCCTGTGAAAATTGTGGTGAGGTAAACCATAATCACACATAACAGCGAAATGTCAGAATTAAAATGAATAAACTGTACTGAATGCAATGTTAATAATGAACTACTATTGCCTGAAGATCATTACTTTTAAAGTGGGGGGTACCCCCTCCCCAGGGATGTAAGATGACATCTAAAGGGGAATGTAGGCACGATCGGGCCCTCCGCACCAACTGCGTCAACCTGCCGCACTGTGCTCATGTTTTAGCTGGGCAAAAGAACATGTACGAAAGTTCTGCCAAAGCAGGAGTGGCTGCATCAGACCACAAAATGAAAAATATTTCCTATGTTTAATTTACAGAGGTATCCATCTAGCCATACTTTTTCTGCACATGCGAACAGCTGTCAAAGCAGATCCATCCTTATACCTTTTTGTGCATGCGCAAAGTAATAGTCGAGCCGATGTCGAAGGTCACGTTTGTCAAGAGTTCAAAGTTCTGTGATACTGCTTTGTGCGTATTCTAGATGCGCAAGTTATGTGTACTTTAAAATACAAAAATAAACTGTCGACTTGTTAAATTATTTTCCCCTTGCTACGAGTTTGCAAAAAAAAAAAAAAAAAAAAAAAAAAACGCAAATACAATAATGATTATATTAAATATGGTTTTGTTGCAATACAAAGGGAAAAAATGGTGTCGGCCAGTAATGCTAGGAGACCTTTTTGTCTGATGTGGCATTTTTCGAGAAACATAGTGCCAAAGGAGCAGAGTGGAAGAGATATTAAATATGTACTGGGGGGAAATTTAAGATCATACTATAAAAAATACACATAAAGAGACTTGACAAAAAATAAAGAGAATTGTCAAAAGCTAAACATAATTCTTGGATATTTCGTTTAAGTAGGATCTGCCGAAGTTCTCCCTTGGCAATGTAATTTTTGTGGGACTCACTACAATATCCAAAATGACTTTACAATAGACAAAGTCATCCACCACAATTAAAGAAGGTCAAGAGCTAGATGACTTGTATACTGATAATACTGAGGATACAATTCAAGCTATAATGGAATATAATTATACAATGGATAACATATTAGAAGACTTTGAAGATCATAAACAGATGTGCATGTCCACGTTAAAAACATCAGATGACATTTCTTTCTCCATTCCCAAGGCTTGAAAATGCTATCAAATTTCTAAACAATGGAAAGGCTCTGGGCTTAAATAATTTACATTAGAAGCCTTTAACACAAATCCTACTATGGTGACAAAGTTTTTCAACAAACTTTTATAATGAGAGAGTTTAAAATTGCAAAATTAGTACTAACTAACATAGAGGGCAAGAGTGGAAACCGACGGAATGCATATAGCCCAATTTGCTTGCTATTGGGCTGGAATAAAGTCTACGATAAACTTATTACAACAGGACTAAGCTATTATCTGTATGATGCCAATTTTATAAGTAATCTACAATACAGCTTTATTCTTGGAAAAATCACAATAGATGCTATATATGAAATTATACAAATTGAGGAGAATAATAGAAGAAATAAAGTATACTTATCCTTAATATCTTTAGACTTTAAAAGTGGGTTCAACAGTATCTGGTAGCTCTCTCTGCTACCAGATACTGTTGAACCCACTTTTATAGTACAACTAAAGAAATCATATTACTTAGGAAAAATAAACTACTGGCCACCCAAAATATAACACCACGAAGGAAGCATCCAAACAGTATGAAACTTGCATCATGTGTATACCGCAAAGGAATATACAAATGATTACTATTTCAGTGCATACTCACATCATGGCCGACTGCAGAACTCCTTACAATGCACAAATAAAGGGAGGAATGACTGCCATTTTGATTAACGTGAATAATGCCCTTTGAATAATGTGAACATTTTGAATAACACTCTTGTGAGACTTTTTGTCTGTAAGCTTCAGTATGCCTCATAGAAAAACACGATCATCATTCCACCATGTTCCCAAGTTCAACCGAAGCAAATAATTGCAAATCCTCCTTCCGGGAAAAACCTATAATCATGTTGAATGCAGCCAAGCAATAGCCATGCAAAAAATAGAACAGGTGGATGCAGGAAGGAACGATTTACAGACAGGAGCTAATGCCATTGCCTTATCGCACCACTCCATAGAAAGGTAGGCTTATCACATGCATGGCATTGATGGAGTGCATTCCCACATCCAATAATATCACATGACAACAATGGATGCAGCCAGTAACACAACAATCAGTATCTGCAACAATTCAAACTCATTTATAGTACAATACACTCTCTGTTAGGCATCCATTGCTTCACTTACCTTTAACTTTTAACTACAGGTTTTTGCATTTGCAATGCTGCACTGAACGGTGGATGGCACTGCATTTCAGACAAATCACACTTCTGCCTGCAGTACCACAATTGTTGAAATAGAGTTTGGAGATACTGCGGAGAGAGGCTGCTTGCATCGTCATACAGGTCCTGTATCCAGTGTTATGGTTTAGAATGGTATTGGATTTCACTCTTGCACTAATTATCAGCACACTTACCAGCCAATGTCATATTTCTGAGGTTTTGCAGCCTATTCTCTTTCCTTACCTTAAGGGCTTGCCTGCAGCCACATTTCAGCGGGACAATGCACGACCATACATTGCACGCAATGTTCAAGCTTTCAATCACAGAACACAGTTCTTATGAGGGAAATGCTTCAAATCACGTGCCAGGCAATAGGGAACCACTGCACTTTATGACAGATCTTTTGTTGCCACATATAATGAAATAATGGATTGTCTGGTATATTTTGATATTAAAAATTGGGGGAAATAATAAAAATGCAGCTGTCCCATAGAACAGGACATTGGCTGCTGATGTACTTTAATAAACTTTGTCTTGTCCATTCACATCATACCAGCCAATCAGATTTGGCTGTATATCTCATATGCTCATCACAAAGCTGTCCCAGTCATATCATCTCTGATAATCTCCTGGCAGTAACTCCATTACTGTTGCACTGTACAGATATGCTCACAATTCATGCAAAATTTGCCATAAGTGACGATATGTACGGTTGCATGTTACACTGATATCTCTTATACCACACACTGTGAGTCAGATAGTACATGCCAAGACTTGCAAACGGCTACACTTGTACACTGACAAATGTATCTGCCTGAATGAAGATGTCTTGCAATGTTCCATTTCTCTAAACAGGCACATGATATTGATGACATCAGGGCAAAAGAATGAGGACGATAACAGAAACATGATGTCTATCGACCATGCCCAACAACAACACTCCCTGCAAAAGAGAACTATCTCACAGCATTTGTTGGAATAACAAGCCAAGTTTAGATTCGAAGATTCAATCCTAGCACAATGTAAAAAAGCTTTTCTGATTGAAAATTTATATAACCCACATAGCATAGCATTCAACATTGTTTTGTAACAGATTTTATACTGTGCAATTTCATTACTGATAAGGTATGATACAGAGCATTGCAGAGCTTTTATTCAAGTAAATGGCATATGTAAGGCTTCATTTTGTATTAAATTGGCGAAGTTCTACACATTTGCTATTGACTTTTTTTGCTATCTCTCCCTTTGGTGATAACTTCAGCACATTGTGCTATAAAATATATTTTTACCAAGTGATGGTGCAACCTCAGATGTAAAGAGCTGCAGAGGTTGCTCATCAATTCTACTTGGCTAATACAGCAATATACCACACTATGTACAGGGATGTAAGCCATGATTACGAACACAGATATCTGGAAAACTGACTTGTTTGGAATTAGTTCCAGATTTGAGATATCTCTGAATGATCAAAGAAAACAATGATATTTTTGATTATCAGTTAGTCCTACTTCAATGTATCCAATAACAAACCAGCATTCACTTCTTTCAAATGCAGAACACGAATATCATCAAACACTGGCCTATGAAAGTAATAAACACTTAGTATTAGCATTTAAATGAAATTTCTCATATTCTTCAGAATACTGGCATCTTCAATGACTGCAAAGTTAGCATATGTTTGCTCCACCAGCTGTGATTGGTTGTAACATATATATTTGCATACTGCAATCTGCCTCTGCAGGTGCTTAACTTTTGGCAGCCACAGTACTTCCACTTTCATTTTTTTTTTGGGGGGGGGGACTTGCCATTAACTCTTTTCAGATCATGCATTTGGCTCCCATGCAGTTTGAGGCCAGAATAGTTTATTTTTTTAATTTATTTTTATTTTTCTGTAAGATTAAATAACGAAAAAATCTTCAAATTTTATATTAACACTTAAGTATAATTTCTCAAATATTTATATAAAATAAGTGGTGTTAATTTCACAAAGAAATTAAAAGTATATACTTACCTCATTTCTTAGGATATAATTTAAATTTTTCAATTTTGAAAAATATTTAACAGCACATTCATCTTATTTCATGTACAAAACTGAGCACATCAATTTCAAAATAGATAAAATTATCAGACTTGAAAAACAGTAGCTGTTATTTCAACAATAATTAACACAAGGCATCTGCTTCAAAGATTTAAAAAAAAAAAAAAACCACTAAACTTTCATTTTTTTTTTTTTTTTTTTTTTTTAAATTTTACTGAACTTCACAAGATACATTTCTTTTATAGAAAAAAATTCAGAAAACAAAATAGCACATAACATTCTGAAATTTTTAAAGTCTTCTGAACAGCAAATTCTACACAGAAACCACATAGACAACTAGGCATAAAACTGAAGACAAATTTATCATAATGCAAATAAAGATAAGAGCACAGAACAAAAATATAAAGCAATAAATAAAACAGATTTTATACTACCCCAAAGGGGCTGTTTTTAGCATTTTATGTACTATCTTTATTTATTAAGTATCATGTTCTTCACACTTTTTTTTTTTTTTTTAAATTAAAAGAAACACAACAAGTTCCCCATGTACCACATAGTATGGGGCTTACAGAAGTAAGTAAGAAACACAATACATACTTCTGTATTCCCATGTGATACTATGTTCCCCATGTTCTTCACACTTAAACCCAAAATTCAATTCAAAAGCAGTATCACAAAATATTTAAAAATAGCATATCTTTAGAATTTCCAATGAACAGTCTTGCGCATTGAAAATATTTTTTTTTTTCCCCCTCATACAACGTAGTCATTGCTAACTTTTAAATCTTTGAATTTACTAATCAAAAATTCATTACAAATTTTACAAAACATGAAAAAGTTTTTAAAAAAAATCAAAATTTAAAATTTGGGCTTTTCAGGTAGCCATGTTCGGGTGGAGGATTACATTATTCAAAATTTGATACTGTCGTTCTTTCTTATTGCGAGAAACATATCTACATTCATGCAGATCCTTCATTATTTAATTTCTTTAAATATAATACAGGGTGATAATATTTGGTGGCAACAATTTTTAAAAAAATACGCTAAGGAACTGATGCAAAATGCCATTTAGACTAATAGCCCTTCTGATACAATGCTTCTTTGGGCTAATAACAAAATAATTACAAGCATTGATTTATTTACCTCGTTTTGTTGGTGCAGCAGCTGCAAGTGGATTATGTTGACTAGATGCATCTTCAGACGTTGAAGATGTTTTAGTTCGACGAAAACTCCCAGTTCTAGAAAAAAATATCCATAACATTTTTACAAAAGATGCAACATAACATGAAAAAAGTGTTAAAGACACAACTGATTATTTTCACAATGCTTATTTTATGAATTACATAATCTTCATATTTAAAAAATTAAAGTAAACTAATTACAATAAAAGTTAATACACTTACCATGTAGTAATATATAAAAGAAAATTAAACCTATAAAAAGTTTTAACAGCTCTTCCATAAGCCAAATATATTTTTTTTAAGGTACAATAAATGCTTTCGTTCATTATAAACCACATGAAAACATGAAAACAATAGCTCAGAATACACGAAGAAGATATAAAATATATCTTTTTTCCAAGAAATACATAATTAATTCTTTTAAATAGCATAAACAAGCAAATTTGAGTTATTCAGTTTTAGTAGAGTTACACTTAAATCTGTAATCACTTAATAAAACCCACATATTTTTTAACAGAATAGTAAAGAGAAAAGAATAAAAACAACCAGAAACAAAAAATTTCTTGTGTTATAATATGTCAAAGGAAATTCACAGACAGTTAATGTTGCTTAAAAGGTTAAACACAACACGGATGAAATGTTATCTTTCGAAACTGAATCCAAAATTTATACAGCACATATAGTCATCAAAGAAAAGAAACATTCAAATACTGCTTGTTAACTGAACCATACATTTTCCGGATATTTAAAAAAATAATAATAAAAATATTCATTCCTGATCAGTTTTAATGCATTAAGTTAAAGGTTATTACCAGCTTAAACATTACCATAAATAAGCAAAGCACACAATTTTGATTGAAAGTTTTTTTAAATAGAAAAGGTGCTTTTCATTCAGTGAAAGCCACTTGGAATCAAATATACACATCAGTGATTCATACACCTTATTTGATTCCTGGAGTTCAACAAGCAGGATTAATCAAAGCTGGTCATGAGCTTCCTGACACTAACAAGTTGCTTCCTCAATGCTGATGAAAACTTGAAGTACTCTTTCATTTATTGCACAATTATATATACTCACTTGTTTATCATCACTTTGTTATCATATAATTCCCCATCCTTTCTTTTAAACAATTTTATGCATGTGAATTGTAATAAATCACAATAATATGCATGTGAATTGCAATAAATCACAATAATATGCATGCGACATTAGATTATTTTTGATTATTGCACTGTATACAAAGACTATCTCCCAAAAAAGAGGGATGCATTCCTGAAGGATGTTTAAAGAAAGGTCCTGAAAATTGTTCCAGAGGAAGAGAATTGACTGAACATGAGCCTTGCAGGGGAAAGCCTGCAATGGTAAGAACTGATGAAAATGTTCTCATTATCCGGGATGTTATACATTCTGATCGTCACTTGACATCCAAATCATCAGAATTGAATTGATGAAAATCATCAGAATTAATTTGAATCTCCCACCATTCATAGAATTTAATGGGAATGAGGAAAAAAATGGGAATTAGGAAAGTCTGACCTCGAGGCCAAATGGTAAATCAACACTTTCACCCAGAATATTTTCACAAAATTTTTAAGTTTAATGCAAGTAAGACCAAGAATCAAGACTGATTGAGAGTTAGATTATGACAATGAACCTTGTCATGCTGTATTTTCAATTAATTACTAATTAATATTAAATGTTATTAATTATTTAAATTAATTAACAGGGCAATAAAAATACACATCACTCTGTCTCTTCAGCCCTTTGTTCCTCCAACTTGAGTCTACTAGACGTTTTCCTATTACCAAGATTAGAAACTCATCTTAAAGGGAGTTGGTCATTTTGGAACACTAAAAACCATTCAAACAGCTGTAATCAACCATCAAAATGCAATTTCAGTATCTGAGTTCCAACACTGCTACGAAGAGTGGATAAATCATATCCAATGTCGTGTGGCTTCCCAAGGTGTTACTTTGAAGGAGACAATGCGAGATTGCACTTTAATTTATATATAAAATTTAAAATAATCACCCTATACTTATGTACTTAATTATTTAAGTTTAATGATATTTGTATTTTTTTTAATTAGTTATGATGGTTGTGAACAGTTAAATGGAACAAATATCAAGAACTAGCAAATGGAAAAAATGGTTAAATCTTAAATTCCTAAATTTAATCTTCTCAAAAAAGGCATCTGCATTGAAGAAACCTGTGCTGTGCAGTGGAAAGAAATATAATAGCTACAGAAGATTCCAATGAAGGCAGTGAGAATGATAGCAGAAAATTTCACTCAAGTGATAAATCTGATTTGCATGCTTCTGAAGAACCCAGTTGTTCACTTCCACGCCTATCGAATTAATTTTCACCTTTTCGTTGCCCTGCGTTGGCAACACGCTTTTGAGATGTGTCGTTCGTAGAATTCGGTCGCTAAAAGCGTAGCTGGCCTGTAACGGTTGTAATTCTTATTTTAAAGCTTATCTGTACTCCTGAATTATTACTAAATGTTTACGTGTGAATGTTATATTATTAAATGTATTCAGTTTGATTTAAATAGACCAAGAGTCGTTGAATTTATTAAGTATATTTAAAGTCGAAACTGCGTCATCCATGTCGGCGCCATTCTAATACGAGGAACGTAAACACCAGTTATTTAGAAAATATTTCATAAAAGATTAAAGCATGTGATATACACACTCTATTCCAGCAGTATATTAACTCAACATTTTTTTTTAAAGGAGAAAATGGTACTTTCCTATCAACATTTGATAGAATTGCCATGTTTCTGGCATATTTAAGTATACACACAACAGCTAACTCGCACATGTGAGTGAGAAGTGGATTTATACACTTTAACTGTCATTTCGCTAAACAATATCCATTGACTGTGAAAAAGTAAATATCCATCACATAGACTTCTGTATTTTTTCTAATATAATACCTTATTTCTCATCGGTTACTTCTTTTTTATTATTATTTACGCGGAGGTAGATTCACTGATACCTGCTGATTCAGAGAATACCCAGCGAGGTGACATCATTCATAGTTTAGCACAGCGCGGAGCAGCAGAGACAGTGCCCAGATAGCTTCAAGACGAGGAAAGAAACGGAGGTGAGCAGACGGCTTGTGGATACTCGAGAACTTGGTGGAAAACCAAAAACCATGGCTGTAGAGTCGGTAGGGAAAATAACTGACTCCGACAATTTTAAAGATTCAGACTCCTTCACACATACACATGGATTACAGCTTATTTTTTTAATATAAAACAAGTAACAGATGCTACAGAAAAAAATTGATGGCATAACAAATTATTTATATTAATTAGCATTTATTATGAAATGGAAAACCTGGCATTAGTTATTTCTAAGAAACTAAGCACAGTTTCAACAAGATCTTCTTTGTTGGAGGGTCATAGATATGATTTGACAAACTTCAGAGCTGAGAAGAGTCTTTCTACACTAACTTGAATAAGAGGAAGAGCTCTTACTGTTAGGGCTACTTCTTTTAACTTTTCAGGATAGAATTTTATAAATTCTAAAAGAGGCGTCTTGCAAGTGCAATCATATTTCTCTATTTCTTCAAAGGCTGTGAAGAAATCTTGTTTGTATTTTTTCATTTTTATATCTAAAGGCTCTTGATTCTTTATTTTCATTCGCTTTGCCTTAGCCTTTTCAATATTATCCAAAAATATTTCTCAAAATCTAATTCATCACTGGAAGATGATGATAGAGACTCAATTGCAATGTTTGCAGTTTGACTGTCCTGATTCAAATTCCTTAATTGTTCTGAGAATAATTTCATTCTTAATGAAAGTTCATAGATGACATTCTTTGCATTTTTAATTTGTTTGTCATCCTAGAAAATTCGGGGTTTCGAATCTACATATATTGAACCCAGCAAAATCTCATTGTCTAGCAAACTAGTTTCTCTTTCCTTCACCGAGTTCTTCTGCAATAAACCCTCCATTTCAGAAAGAACAAACATTGCATTCTTTAATTCTCACATCCTGTCAATTCTTTAGATTGCAGCTTTTTTTGTGTCTATATACAGTGTAGAAAGAAGTTTCCAATTCTGCAAGATCATTTCACGGTCTTTCTGTTAGTGAAACCTTAGGGTTATTTACATCTTCTTAAAAAAGCTCTTAATTCTAGCAACCTCTCTATCATTAAATATGTATTTCCTTATCGCGTTGCTTGATCAATAATTGCTCCTTTTCCTGTTCGCTTCCTAAGAATGGCATCAATTTTGGGAGTTCTTCTTCTGTTGCTGCTTACCTAAATTTACCAGTGAAATTTGTAACTAAATTAATCAGTTTAATGGCTAATGGCAAATATCACATCTCCTATATTTATTAATATGTCAATAAAACAGAAAACTTTATTAATGTATACAGTCCATAAATAAAAATAATAACTCAGCTTGTCACTAATTTTTTTTCAATTAATTTTAATTTCATTTCAAATTCTAACTGTCCAACAAACACTGGAGTCGGAGTCAACCTGTTTTTAGCAACTCCAGTTCCGACTCCTTTTACTCCAAAATCTGCCCGACTCCGATTCAGACTCCACAGCCATGTGGAAAACAGACGGTTTTCTTCGAGAATCAAGTTTTCTGTAGCCAAGCTGAAATGCTTATATCGAGCTAGCCATATGAGGGCAGATGTGCATTATGAATGTTAATATCAGAAACTGATATTGTGTGAGAAATGTCCATCATTACATGAATCCTGTTTGGACTGACCTTAGTTCTGATGTTATCGACTGTAAAATTCTCTTTCACCAGAGCTGTGGAGTCGGTAGGGAAAATGACCGACTCTGACTCCAGGAATTTTAAAGATTTCGACTCCCTCATGTGTGTATATATATATATATATATATATATAAACATATACACATGGGTTACAGCTTATTTTTTTAATATAAATCAAGTAACAGATGCTACAGAAAAAGAAAAAAAAAACTGATGGCATAGCAAATTATTTATATTAATTAGCATTTATTATAAAATGGAAAAACTGGCATTAGTTATTTCTAAGAAACTAAGTACAGCTTCGACAAGA